AGCAATGAAGGCCTTGACTACTCTCCCCATGCCTAGTATGCCCAGCAACCCAACTCATGAATATGCCCCCAGCTGTACTAATTCAACTCCTCCCCTGAATAGCTTCTGTAACCTAGACTCTGGCAATCCCAACATAATGATGATGGATAACCCGTTGAATGATTCAAGCATGGCGTTAGATCCTGTTGATGACTTGAAGGCCATGCCTAGGGATCTCTTCAATAATTTAGTCATGATTGAGTCAGATGATCCAATTGCATCACTTAATGCAGGAGATAATCCAGACATAATGTCTGATGCCTTCGGGAACCAAATTGCAACAATGGATATTAATCTGTCAAATGATCCAATATCGGGCCTAATGAGTTTTTTAATCCGAGTACTATACCTCATGCACCAAATGATCCAATTAGCACAACATCCGATGCTCTAAATATGATACGTATTGTGCCAGATGATTCAAATCTAGACTCAGTATTTGATGGCTTCACTCTAGAGATGCTATTTGCAGATCCATTGGATGATGAGAACTTCATTGTGGACAATCCAAATGAGGCGGCTAACGGTGATAATCCGAAAACAATGCCGCCTCCTCTTGCAGGGAATGTTCTAGGAAGCGGCCAAGGATTTTAATGACTAAGTTTGTTGATTATCTTGAAATGAATCAAGGGCTAGTTTGAAGAGTTTCAGTATCGTGTCTTTTCTTTTTGTTTGTCTTGTTTTTCAAATAATGATTTGGGAATTTGGGATTTTAATTGGCTTGAGTTTTGTATTTGCTTACTTTCAGGTGATGTTCTTGTGTGTGCGTGTGTGTGTGTGTGTTTTTTTTTTCTTTATAAATGTTGTCATTGTTAGTCTTGGATCGAGTTAATAAGTATATGTGTGTTTCATGAGTGTTGTTTATTTTACATTCTTGTTAAGTACAATTCCGCAAATCTTTAAAAATATTTAATCTTCTATAATCACCCTATAAAGTACATTTATATAATAGTTCCGTCTCTTTATATATATGTGTGTATGTATATGTAACACCCAAAAATTATATTTTTATTATTTAATATATTTTAATTTTTATTAGAATTTTTGTTTAATTTTATTCTATTTTAATATTTAATTTATAAGGTTTTAATTTAATTTAATAGAAATAAAAATAATAATGGTAATAAAATAGGATAAAATTGTTTTTGAGATTTAATTGAAATTAATTTTTGGAAAAAGGGGTGAAATTTTAGATTATGGGGGTGTTTTTGAAAAGCAAATCGAAAACTGAGGGTTAAAACACAATTTTAAAAAGTTGTGCCACGTCAGCAGCCATGTCGGCAGCCCAGTCAGTAGCCCCGACCAACCAAAACACGCCGCATGTCAAGGAAGCTGACGCGGAGGCCACGCGGGATAGAGCCAAGTGGGTGATCCGCGTGCACGCGATCGAACAATCCAGATCTCACGCGTGTGGACAGCCCAGATCTCACGCGTACGGACGGCCCAGATCTCACGCGCACGGACAGCTTAGATCTCATCGCGATGGACAGTCCAGATTTATTTCCATTTTAATCGCGATCGGACAACCCAGATTAAATCGTGATAGACGGCTGAGATTAAAAGGGAAATATTATAAATAACCTCACCCACACCCAACCCCAAACCCTAGCTGCCAGTACCCTCGCCGGAGAAGAAGAACCAGTCACCAGAGGAACCGGCCTCCGCCACCCACCGCCGCACCGGAGGATTTCTCGACCGCCAAACAAGGTAAATTTTCTCCCCTTGGCTCGTTTTTCGATGCTGAGTCTGCCTATGGCCAAATCGGAGCCAAACCACCGGCCAATCGGCCGATAAACATTGTTGAAGTCCAGCGGCACCGCCGCGGCTTCCCTCAATTTTTGCCTCCGATGAGGCCCTTCCTGGTTCTCGTTCGATGCAATTTTTACACCACTGTGATCACTGTCCTTCTCTCTACAGGTTGACCGGAGTAAAACATCAAATCACGACTCGCACTGGAGAAGCTGTCTCACCCGAGAACTCCACCGCTAGTAAGTCTCAGTTTTTCGTTATTTTTTGGCCCACCGAGGGCCCTAGGGTTGTTTTATCACAGGAACCAATGCAAGTTTGGCCGAAAATGACCAACCTGAGGCGGATCACTGCTGCAGACGGGGGTGTTGTCGCCAGAGCACGACGGAGCTGCCGTACCGGAATTTTGATATTGGCCGAAAGGGCCCTGGGTCTGATTTTAGGTTTTTTGGGGACACGTGCAGGTATCGGAAGCGTGTTTCAGTTCCCAAAAAAAAATTCAGGGAATCTAGGGACTGCCTGTAGGCGCAGTGTATAGCCGATTTCAAACCCCGAAACAAGTAAGGATTTCTCACCCTATTTCCTATCACGGTATTAAAGTTCAATAAATGATAAAACGGTATTCGTAAAATTAATGGATGTGTATAATTGCTTAAGGTTGCTAATGGAGCCCGAATCTGGTGTATTTATCGGTCAGTTGTTGTTTCATCTATTTTACAGTTTTAAATGCAGTATGGTACTTGATTTGGTTATTTTATGATTTCGTATGCATGAATCCCGATTTCATTTATTATGGTTTGAATTATGGTGAACTCGATGTTGTGTTGTTTGTTTGGTGTTCATTACTAGTTTACGTATTTATGTTTGACTGGATAATTGAGACCAAGAAAAATGGGAAAAAGGTTATGTGAATTGATAAATAGATAATGTAGACAACCTGACTAGATATCCTGGGAGATGGTGGACGGATCGGGTCCGTAAGGAACCCTACCGGGAACGTGGTCTCTCATATCGGACGGGATATGGAGACCTTATGTGTTTTGGCGCCCATACTGGATGGGGTATGGGGACGGCCCGTTTCACCCTCATACCGGATGGGGTATTGAGGTTATATGGTTTTGGCGCCCATATCCGACGGGGTATGGGGACGGCCCTGGAATCAGGTTATTAATGTTAATGGTTCATGTGTAGCAGGGATCCCTTATGGATCCCCATGGATACTAGTAGGCTAGTAAAAGAGGAAATTTGTTGTCTAATTATTGAAGTACAAAAGTATAATATGTGTTATGTTACAAAGTGTATATGATTTTATGATGGTTATAATGTTATTATTTTCATATGTTATTTTCACGAATCTCACCAAGGTAAGTGGAAAGTAAAGATTTTTATTATTAATAAATGAGTTTGTTATAAATTATACTCCATTGGTCGTTTTTGTTTTCTACCAACCTTTACTTCTGTGGCAGTGAGATAGTGTGATGTCTTTACTGGGCTAGTGTAGCTCATTCCTTACTTAACTATTTCAAATCAGGAAGATGTGATTCCCGAGCCCGTTCCGCAAGAAGATGGCGAGTTAGACGCCTAAAGATTTTATAGTTCTATTTATAGTTTTCATTTCGAGTATTTCCTTTAATTAACTTATTCTTTCATACGTTGAATACGTTTTTGGTTATCGTGTAAGGGATATCAATCAGAATTTTTATTTCGCTTCCACACTTAGAATTTTTAATACATATATTTTTATTTAAATTTCTGGGGTCGTTACAGTATATGTATGTATATATATGTATATACAGTAGTCACTTATCTCGCATTTATTGTAAACTATATCTCGAGAGATTTAAAAGAGTTTAGAATTTGGTATCAATACACTCGAGTATATGAAAATATTAAAGCTCTTTAAGTACGTAATAAATTTATTATTTTTAGAAAGTTAATTATTACATTTATATAAATATATGTACGTGTATATCTGTGACTTTGAAGAAAAAAGGTAAAAGATTATTCCGCATACTCATTTCGCTTCCCTATTCCATTATATAGAAATATATAAATCTGTTGGTATATATTTAATTTGGTAGCATGCTTAAGAGTTTGTATAATTTTAACTTGTATTTAATTTAAATTACAATACAAATACCACATATCTGAATTGGAAAAGAGTTATGATTCTAAATCAAATTCAAATTATAGTTTTTAAAAATCTTTAATATGAATTTGGATTTTGTGATTGTATTAAAATTTCTGGATTCACTGTTATAATGTAAAATAATTCAATTGACGTTTAGTCTTAATATCCGAATGTTAAAATGAGAATGCTTTTGTTATTATTAAAAAATATGTAAATAATTTATTATGAAAAATTATATCTGTCATTCTCATATATATTAGTTTCAATATAGATATTCAAAAGGACAATATAGTATTCTCATCACAGTTAAATATAATTAATTATATGATAGATATAATTTATAATGTATATATTTTTATAAAAAAAATATAAACTATCCAAAATGCAATAGATTGAAAGATCGATCATTCTCTTAAATATATTATTTTCAAATTTTAATATTTAAAATAATAAATAATGTGAAAGAGGTTATAAACTATTTAATTCATCAGGATCTATTATATTTTCAAAAAGAATTATAATAGGTTATTTACATATATAATATTCAACATACAAAACTTAGTAAATTAAAGATTGATCATTCTCTTAACTATGGCGATTTTAAATTCTATTATCTGAAAGAAAAATATAGTATACTCATCGCAATTAGGAATAATAAATTACATATGTAATAATATGTTAAAATTTATAAGCATTTTGCTATTTATATACTAAGCACATAATAAAATTTGAATGACGCGAGAGATTTCATTTAAGTCAATGTTCATTAAAAAAGATAATTTAATCAATTATTTTTAGTCAAATAAAAAGAATATCTTAGAAGCTCTATCTCATATTATTTAAGAAAGATTCGAAAAACTTCGAGTGCATTTATTAGACTAATCTAAATTAGTTAAATTATATTCTCTCCATTATTACAAAATCTTAAAGGAGTAAGTAATTAAGACATAGTTAATTTAAATGCAGGAATACTTAAAATTGTAACTGTCAAATTGAGTAGTCTATAAATATACTTCATTCTACTTCATCCTTATTCAATCATTCAAATCATAAATTAATCTTTTAATTCGTGCTAAATTTATCCATGGAGCCTCCTAGGAAGTTAAAGGGCCGCCAAATGATTGAGATGGTGAAGATCAAGAAGGCGACGAATCTCCAAGTTACCTTTGCCAAACACCGGGCTTGCATTTTCAAGAAGGCGAGTGAAATTAGCACGCTTTGTGGCGCCGAAATTGCAGTAATTATTTTTTCACCTTCCAAGAAAGTGTTCTTTTTTGTCAGTCCTTCTGTGGAAAAGTTGATCAATCGATTCAGTGGCTTAATAGAACAACCTCCTTCAGCTAACAGATGCATGATGGATGCTCATATATCTATACTATTTGATTTTCATAACTAATTCTTGAATTTTTTTTGGACATGATTATATATAATTAAAGCTTAATGCCCAAGTGGATGCTAAAAAGATGTGAAGTGTGGAGCTTAAGAAGGTGATGAAGGAGAATGCAAGTAAAGCCTGGTGGATGGGTTCCATAGATGACATGAACCTTTCACAGCTTCAGCAATTTCAAGCTCCTCTTGAGGAATTATACGAGAATGTTATAAAAGTCGCCAAAGAAAATGATGCTGAAGATGACAATATTAATCCTAATTCTGATGATCAGCTTTTTCTTGGAAGCTCTTCCAATGGAACTGGACTTCCATTTGAATCTATCCCCTTAGATGCTATCGTTGGTCCCAGAAACATGGTTAATCCGAACATGAATATGGTTAATTCCAACATGATTAATCCAAATGTGATTAGTCCCAGCATGATTAATCCTAACATGGTTAATCCTGCAGCTTATATGAAGATGCTTCGTGACATGCTCAACAACAATAATCTAAACATTCCCTTGTCCAATTCCATGATTCCCAATAATCTAAACATGGTCTCTAATGTCATGCCTATCAACAGTAACCCTACAAACATGATGCTACCGGCGGCAAATCTGATGATCAACAATGATCAAAACATGGTTCCAGCCGATCATATGATGATGAACAATGACCAGAACATGATTGTGGGGGGATCGGATGCGATCAACGATTAAAACTTGATGTATACCAATGGTCTTAACAATATGAACATGATGTCAGCTATATAATATAATATGACTCAGAATAATGGTGGAAACGGGTAGGAGTTTTTCTAAATTTGAAGTTTGTGGGAATGTGTTTCGATTAGTAAGGTCACAGAGTGCTCATACAGTTTGACTTTCATATTTAAGTTATATTATCAATGGAATGTAAAGTGATATATTTTATAAATAAAAGATCTATTTGCTTTCATCTTAACTCTAATTTTACAGTACTATATGCTATGCATGCATTATAAATCTTATATAGATGTGCACTATTTAATACATATTAGGGCTTAGATTTAACCCCAAAAGAGAGAGAGCGAGACAAAGAGAGAGAGAAACAACAGATACCAAGAATCAAAATGAATTTGTATTTGCATATCCAATATGTTCTATTAGATGTTATATGGGGTGGCAGGTTCTTGAAAAATCATCCATGAAATATTAATTATTTACCGATCTACTGTTAAAACAGATGTATGGTGCGTAATGGCTGTAATAATCAAATGGAAAATAGAATATATAGCTTGTGGAGAAGATATATAGTGGATATATATAGATCAACTTCGAAAGTAAAACACAATTAACTTATTCTTATTTAACAAAAAAATTTAAGAAAGACATGGCAATGAAAGTAAAAATAAATAGTAAATTAAAAATGCATTATGCAAATACGGATTCAAGTGCACGTTATATTAAAATATCTATGCGTACTTAATAAATTTACTATGCAACGTGTTATAGTTTATACTAAAAATATGATATTTCAATAAATTATAAATAATCGAGTGTTGTTAAAATAATATCTCAGATTGAAAAAATTAATTGAAAAATTACAACCATGTTCTATATTTATAAAATTTTTATAAAACATATTGTGCTTTTTCATTAGCATAACTACTACTTATGATGGAAATTGGGAGGAACCCCAATCTCTTTGGGGTCTGAGTTTTTTTCAAAAAAAAAAAACGCTCTCGAAGACAGATTCCTTCAAGAAAATATTAATTCCAATTGAGAATATTCGATTAAAAACATGACTATCTAAATCCTTCCATTTTGTTGCAAATTTATTGGGAAAAATGACGAGATTAATGAAAAAGCAAACGTAAAAATTTAGTTAGATAATCCTAAAATTCTGACCAAAATATCTCTCGTGGAAACACTTTTAAGTCCCTATGGATTCAAATAGAGTATATATCATTTTGAATCAACGTAGAGAAGATTAATAGAGAAGATGAGCAATCATCAAAAGCGTCAAGAAAGATAACATACTATGAAAGACAACTCACCATAGTGAAGAATTGAGCCAAATTGGAATAGTTTTATATGGAAGCTTCATCAAAACCTTTTATGGCTAAGGTTGAAAAGAAGAAAATTGTTATTAAAATAATTAGTAGGTTGGTAATTGTATGATATTCAGTACTTTGGGATTTTCTTATAAGTTTAATTTTTTTTATATATAACATGTTGAACTTCATGGTGGTTTTGCAATATTCGCTATAATTTTATTACCAAGTTTGTAATTTTTTGTTGACTAACTTAATATTCATGTATGGAGAAACATGAAAAATATTTTCATTATCATCCCAAATTTGATATATATATATATATATTAGGAAATAGGTTGGTAATTATATAATATTGTGTATTGGGATGTGTTATTCAAATTTTATTTATCCGTGCATAAATGTTGACACTATTTTCATTATCTTGTCAAATTTGATAAGCAAGAAAATGTGGCTGTTAATAACTATTTCTAAGAATATTCATCTCATTTCGTTCTACAAGCAATGATGATTTGGAATGGTAAATTCGTATAACTTAAAGGTAATATTATATCAATTTTCAAGATTTTTTTACTATATATTTCAATGAGGTGATTGTAAAGCATTCCAAACAAATAAGTCTTTAAAGCCGATATATTTACAAAGAAAATTCGTCTAAATCAAATTATATATTGAACAATATAAAATAAAAATGCCCAACTTGGTGACCCAGAACGAGTAAGTCATCAAAACCAAAAAAAAATTATATAAAAAATTCATCTAAATCAAGTTGTGTTGGATGGTGAAAAGTGATAATTTCCAACTTGATGATTCCAAACAAGTAAGTTATTAAAGCTAATAAATTTGAATAGAAAATTCATCTAAATTAAATTATGTATTGGATAGTGCAAAATGATAATGTCAAACTTAGTGACTCCAAATGAGTAAGTAATTAAAGTTAAAAAAATTTATAAAAAAAATTCACCTAACTCAAGCAATATGTTGGATAGTGCAAAATGATAAACTCAATCTGGTAACACCAAATAAGTAAGTAATTAAATCCACGAAATTTTTATAGAAAATCTACCTAACTTAAACTATAGGTTGAATAGTGCAAAATGATAATGCACAGCCTGATGATTCCAAATGAGTACGTAATTAAAGTTAAAAATTTTATACAGAAAATAAACCTAACTCAAGCTATATGCTGGATGGTGTATAATGATAATGCTCAATCTGGTGACTCCAAATGAGCAAGTAATTTAAGTTAAGAAATTTATGCAAAAAATCAATTTAGATCAAGTTATAGATAGTACAAAATAATAATGTCTAACCTGATGACTCCAAATGAGTAAGTAATTAAAGGCAGAAATTTATATAGAAAATTCATCTAAATCAGATTATTTGTTTGATAGTGAAAAATGATAATGCCTAGCTTGGTAACTCCAAATGAGGATGTAATTAACGGTAAGAAATTTATATAAAAAATCTCTCTTAATCAAGTTAAATATTGAATAGTGCAAAATGATAATGTCCAGCCTGATAATTCCCAATAAATAAGTAATTAAAGTTAAGAAATTTATAAATCAGTTTATATATTGGATGGTGCAAAATGATAATATGCAATCTGCTCCAAATGAATAAATAATTAAAGTTAAAAAATTTATATAGAAAATTAATCTAAATCGAGTTATGTATTCGATAGTGCAAAATGATAATGTCTAACATGTTGACTCCAAATGAGTAAGTAATTAAAGCTAATAAATTTATAAATCAAGTTATATGTTGAATAGTATAAAATGATATTTCCCAATCAGATGAATCCAAATGAGTAAGTAATTAAAGATTAAAAAATTTATATAGAAAATCCATTTAAATAAAGTTTGATGTTGCATAGTGCAAAATAATAATGTCAGTCCGACGACTCTTATAAACACTACACATTTTCTATCAGTTCCTAGTAAATTATAAACCAACTTTTTTATCTTTTCTTCACATTGTCTTTTTCTTTCACTTTTAGCAATGGATAGGAAGGGCAAGGGCTGTCAAAAGATTGAGATGGTGAAGATGAGTAACGAAACCAACCTCCAAGTAACTTTCTCAAAACGAAGAGCTGGTCTTTTTAAGAAAGCTAGTGAATTGTCCACTCTTTGTGACGTTGATATTGCGATGATTGTTTTTTCCCCTAGTAAGAAGGCTTTTTCTTTTGGTCATCCTTATGTTGAAAAAGTGATTGAAGATTTCATTTGTGATAATCCTCCACGAGATACTTCAGGAGCCATGACACACATTGAGACTCACCGTAACTCAAGGATACATGAGCTCAATATGATCCTCACACAGGTTTGAGTAGACCATATTTAGATTTTAAAACTTAATATACTTATTTGATCTTATTTTTCTTGGATTAAAACTTATACTGCCTTGTACTTATTATTTGAAAAATATAAAAATAGGTTATCAATCAATTGGAAATCGAGAAAAATCGCAATGCATAGCTTAAGGATGTAGCGCCCGGACCGAGGAGGGAAAAAAAAAAAAAAAAAAAAAAAAAAAAAAACCACGTCGGCAGCCACGTCAGCAGTCCCGGCCAACCGGGACCTGCCACATGGTAAAACCACGTCGTTCCAAAAAGGGCCACGTTGGCGATCCGCGTGGGCGCGATCGGACGGCCCAAATTAAAACAAAATGGACGGTTGAAATCAAAAGGCAAGGGGTTATAAATAAAACCCCCACACCAGACCACAAACCCTAGCCACCTGCCACTCGCCGGAGAAGACGAACCAGAAGCCGGCCGCCGCCACCCGCCGCCGCACCGGAGGAACTTCCGACCGCCGATCGAGGTAAATTTCGTACCCCCGACTCGTTTTTCCATGCTGATTCCTCCTGTGGCCAAATCGGAGCCAAAATCCCAGCCAAACGGCCGGAATGCACGGCCGAAGCCCAGCGGCGCCGCCGCGCCCTTCTCGGTTTTTACCTCCGATGAGGCCCTTCCCGGCCTCCGTTTGATGCAATTTTTATATCACCGTGATCACCACTCTTTTCTCTACAGGTTGACCGGAGCCGAATCACCAAAACACGAACCTCGCCGGAGAGCCGCCGCACCCGAGAGCGCCGCCGCCGGTAAGCTCCATTTTTCCGTGATTTTTTGGCCCCCCGAGGGCCCTAGGGTTGTTTTCTCGCAGGGACCGATGCGAGTGTGGCCGAATTCGGCCAGAAACGGTCGAAAATAGCCAACCCGAGGCGAATCGCCGCCGCCAGCGGCGGCGCCGTCGCCGGAGCACGGCGGAGCCGCCGTGCCGGAGTTGCAATTTGGGCCGAAAGGGGCCCTGGGCCTAATTTGGGATTTTTTGGAACACGTGCAGGTACCAGTAGTGCGTTTCAGTTCCCCGAAGAAAATTCAGGGAAAATTAGGGACAGCCTGCAAGCGCACTGTGAAGCCGTGTTCGGACCCCGAAACGAGTAAGGACCCCTAACCTTATTTCCTATCATGGTTTTAAAGTTCAATAAATGATAAAACGATATTTCATGAATCAACGAATGTGTGAAATTGCTTAGGGTCGCTAATGGAGCCCGAGTCTAGTGTGTTTGTCGGTTAATTGTTATTTGGCCTGTTTTACAGTTTTAAACATAGCATGAGGTTCGATGTTTTCATTTTATAGTTTCGTGTGCATGTTTTACTGTTTTATTGATTATGGATTAAATGACTGGGATATTGATGCTGTATGTTGTCTGCTTAGCATAAATTATCGTTTTGCTTGCTTGTATGTGGATTAATGATGCTGACTGAGGAAAAAGAGAACGAACAATTATGTAAATGGATAATGGTATAATGTGATCAGCCTGACTAGATATCCTGGGAGATGGTGGACAGACCGGGTCCGTAGGGAACCCTACCGGGATTGTGGTCTCCCATACCGGACGGGGTATGGAGATCTTATATGTTTTGGCGCCCATACCGGACGGGGTATGGGGACGGCCCGTTTCACCCTCATACCGGACGGGGTAATGAGGTCTATGGTTTGGCGCCCATACTGGACGGGGTATGGGGACGGCCCTGGAATTTGATTTCAAGTATTAAGGATTTACGGGTAGCGGGACCCCTATGGATCCCCATGGATACTAGTGGGCTGGTGAATTAGGAAAATATGTTGTGTAACGATTGAATTACGAAAAGTGTGATAGGTATTAAGTTATACAGTTCATATATATGTTTCCATGATGATAATGATGTTATTGCTTTCGTATATTGTTTTATGAATTTCACCGAGGTAAGTAAATGGTAAAGGTTTTATTTATCGATAAAAGGATTTGTTGTAAATTATGCTCCATTGGTCGTTTTGTGTTTTCTACCCACCTTTACCTCCGTGACGGTGAGATATCGTGATGTCTTTACTGGGCTAGTGTAGCTCATTCCTTATTTAATCATTTCAGATCAAGAGGACATCGTTCCCGAGCCAATTCTGCCGGAGGACGACGAAGGGGACGCTTAAAGACTCCATAGTCACATTCGTAGTTTTTACTTTCAAGTTTCTCCTTTAGGTAGTTTAATCTTTTATATTTTGTGAGCACGTTTCGGTTTCAGTGTAAGGGATGTTATTCAAATTTTGACCTCGCTTCCGCATTTGATATTTTTGAATATAAAATTTTATTTTATATTTCCGGGGCTGTTACAAAGGAAATACAAAAAAAAATGTGAGAGTAAGTGTTGGTGGATGGGTCCGAAAAAGGAAATGAGTTTCTCACAACTTGAGCATTTAAAGACATCTCTTAAGGAATTGAAGAAGAAAGTTACTGAAGAAGTTGAGACGATTATAATTCAGAACAAATTAAACATGATGCCTCATGTATTGAACGACCCAAACGCGATACCTAACGTGTTCAAGGATAATCCCAATATATATATTCAAGGAAATGGGAAAAAAAAGATTCTACTAAGTACATTTCTTGATTAAGTCTTGGAAGGATGAAATTAAAAAGAGTTGTAAACACGATGCTTGCCGTTTGTTTTATTTTATTTATGTTAGATATCTGGTGCCTTAGCATTTGGGTTTTCATCATGTTCCTTTTCATTGCAGTGTTGCGGTACTTTCAAAGAGTGTAATAATAATATAATTTTTTTATCTATGCATTTATTTTTATTTTCAAGTTGAAATCAACCAACTATTCTAAGAGTTGTAATAGGAGAAAATATTTTAAGTAATTTACTTTTAACTCATTAACTCAAGACAAAGGTAACGTCTAAATATAAAAAGAAAAGATATTAAAGTCACATAATCGTGCTTCGATAAGAACATGAATCATCTTTGGGAAAACCTTCAATTATGTCATATTTATGCGAGTTAAGTTTTTACGTTGACAATTATGAGTTTCTATTTTTGAATAAATACCTGTGTTGGTTAATTAACTAATATATATATACATCAAATTTAAAACAATATAAATGACATTTAATTAAAAACATACAGGGAAGTACAATCTCTCATATAGGAAGAAATATACCAACTATTCAGTTAAATAATAGTTGGTAGAAGTCACATTTTGAATTAATCTAAAATATAATAAATGAAATGAATTAACTATATGGTAATTATGCATCCACGGACAAACTATTAAATTTCATGATCAAATTTTTATACATTGTAAGAGTTGTGATCCATTTATTAGATGACACTCTTGGTGACTTGTATGTTCATCCAATTTATTGATGCGATAAATAAATGTTATGAGTTTTCTTGATTTCAAAAGATTAAATCCTAGTTAATTCAAATTTAATCAGCAATTAATTTGATTATCATTCTAATTATTACCTGTTTGGCCACAAACTCAGGGTAATTGTCCTGAAGAATGTGCAGAGCCTGTTTAGTTGCCAATCTAAGCTCTCTTTTTCCAGGTCCAGGGGAATTCTTCAGATCATTAACCTGAAAAATAGTACAAACACCACCAGGACTAAAATCAAGTTTCCTTATACTCCTTTCCAAGAATTGAATCCGCCATCTCAAAAACTTCATCCTCTTCTCTTCATTTGAAAATGTCTTCTGATACAACTCCTTGTTCTGAAACTCTCCATAAACGTTGTAACAAACTGGATGCCCGTCCTTGTCATGTCCATGCATAAACACAACTTTGTCCAGGTCATCGCCGAGATCTTCGTCGACAAGCTCCTCGATGCCGAAGTCTTTTCTCCATTGAATTGTGTTCTTGATCATGATAAAAGCGTCCTTGGGTTTGAAATCCCTGGCTCTGAGGAATTTCAGCAGAATGACATCGCTCCGGTCATATTTCAGAAGAGGAATTCCCCAAGTGGAGAATTCCTCCGGCGAGTGAGTCTCCAGCTTCACTTCTTCTTGAGATTTCTCTTGTGGCTTTTAAGGAACTGCTGGTTCTTGAGGTGGGTTTATGGTGGTGCTAGCATCGGACTCAGCGGAGGATACTGCTTCAGTTTTTGGTTCAGTCGCCATGGTAGATTCTTTTGGAGGTGGCGGAGAGCTGAATTAACGAGTGTTTAGAGCTTCCTGAACAAGCTGCTTGAATTCTAATAAAGCTTTCTTCTCGAACTCAGAGAGATCAGCCACGTTATTGCTCTCCTCCTTGAAGGAAACCAAGCTCTGAGGAGCCTTACTTTTATCTTTCACGACGCCGAAAACCTCCTCGTCGGCGTTAACCGCCACTGTTTTCTAACTTACTTCCTGCTGCGGCGGCAGAAGCTCCTTTTTCTCCATCATTGCCGCAAGCGATCTAGACTCCACGGTCACCTGCTCCGGTTCTTTCTCCAACGTCAAGGTCTTCTCAGGTTCCGTTTCCGGCGGCTGTTGCTCTTCCTTTTCTGGAATTTCCGGAGGTTCATCAGAAGGAAGAGGATCAAGAGGAGGAGGCGGAGTTTGTTCAGTTAATGTTGGCTGTGCTGGTGGGTCTTCCTTGTCCGGTGCAGGGGAAGCATTTTCGGCAGCGGAAGAGGGCGGCGACGGCGCTGCCGGAGCCTCCGCAGGTGGCGGCGGGTGTTGTGGTTCGGCCATGAGTTGTTTTGGGTTTGTGTAGTTTTGGGGGGAAAGAGGTGGAGTTGGAGAAAGTGAAAAGTGGTTGGGTTTTGTCTATATGCGGTCAAGTTTAGAAGTTATCAAGAAGCCATGGAAAGACAGAAGTTGGCGAGCAGAAGGTTGAAGATGAAGGGGGGAGTTTCTTTCTGACAAATATCTGGAATCCTATGCTTCGTTCACATCATTTTC